CTGTTGAAGACAACTCTCGGCGAGTCACATAACCCACTGCTTCTTATCGTTGGTCTTGATTACGTGAGGAGATAAGCCTTTGTTTTTCTCATATGACTTTAGAATACGTAACGCCAAGTGAGGGCAGAGGATCCATGTTGAGAATACTCGTACAGAGACTACCAAACCTTGCATCGTCGAGACCCATCACAAATTGGTGAAGCTTTTCATCATCTCTTTCTTTCACTCTTGCCGTCATGATTGAACCATGAGAACACACTGCACTTGCTTGATAATTTTTCAATTCATCCCAAAGATTACACAATCTACCATAGTAATCAATCACTGTCTGTCCGTCTTGTCGACATGAAGCAAGTTGAGCCTTGATTTGATAAACCCGAACATTATTACTTACAGAGAAACGTTGACGTAGCTCATCCCACAGAAGATGCGCGTCGGAGATAAAAGTCACCGTTGATTTAACTTTAGATTCAATGGAGGCTCTAATCCAACCTACGATCATTGAATTCACTGCTTTCCAATTTTTGAAATCAGGATCAGTACTTGAGGGTTTCGTGATGGTGCCATCGACGAAGCCTGTCTTCCTTTTAGCTTGAAGATCATTAAACATCTCCTCTGACCATTCGATGTAGTTTTCTCCATTCAACAGAACAGAGGATATCATCGTACCTGGATTGTCGGAGCTGGCTAAGGTATAAAGCGACACAGCCGCCGTGGAGGGTTGCGCAACTAGCGCACCGGAGGATCCCGGAGGATCAGTAGCCATACTTCTTTACTTTGACAAACAAGGCTCGAAACTATTGAGAAAAACTAGAGATTTTTGAGCTTTGAATCTCTGATACCATGTAGAAAAATATATTGAACTGAGTTGCTTTTATTAAACCTTAACATCATATCTTGTATAGAGATTACAACTAGGGTTTACAACAACCGACAACATCGTGAACTATACGTAACGAGCCTAAGCATACAGCCCATATACTCTCTATAATAACTACCATTTATTTTTCCCAGGAAAACAAGTCCAAATCCAATAATTCGAGTTAAAATATAAAAAAAATTCCTAATTTCAGCCATAACCGATGTGTATAAAAAGCAAGGGTAGGTAATCTTTTTTCTTGCCTAGCCAAGTAGCCATTACCGTCTCTCTCTCTCTCTCTAATAAATAACATCACACATCACTTACCTTCACTCTTCGCAAAGATATTATAGAGTGTGAGAGAGACACTCTTTCATCTTCAACTTCCACTATCTTTGCAAGATTCTACCGGAGATAGATGGCGAAGTTCCTACAAATGGGTTCATCAATCTTCTTCTTCTTTCTTATCACCGTTTCTTTATGTTCCGCCCACAAAGAGGCGTTTTCTTCTACTGGGTTGGTTCAAATGGAGTGCTTGAAAGTCCCGCCGTTAGAGTTCGCCCAAGCGGCCAAAACCGTCGTTGATGCTATCCAAAAGGCGGTAGCTATAGTTTCAAAGTTCGACAAGAAAGTCGGGAAGTCACGAGTGTCCAATGCGATTCTTGATTGTGTTGATCTTCTTGATTCTGCCGCCGAAGAGCTTTCTTGGATCATCTCTGCCTCTCAAAATCCCAACGGTAAATATAATTTTAACTACTAGTCTTTTTCTTTTTCTTTTTCTTTTTGCATGCAAAATATGAGTCTTTAAATTAATATAAAAGACTAGATATAATGTAAGTCAAAAGTCAACGAGGAAAATTCAGTTTACGTGGTGATACAAATTATATAGTTTTTTTTTTTACATAAATTTCCACCGAATTTATCAATACCAAAATGTCAAAAAAATAAATAAAGATAAAGATACGATATAGAAAAAAGAGCTTTATTAGGTGCAAAACTAGCTTTACTATCAAGTCCATTTTTGAAGTTAAATTTTCCTCTGACTCGAACTAGTACTGTATAATTAGTAACCGACGGAACATTAGAGAAGTCCATTTATTAAGCAACACTGGACACGAACGACCTATATTTTTTTTCCTTTTCTCTTAAATATTTGATAACTTTTTTTTGTTAATATAAATATTTGACAACTTTGAGACTTTTTCTGCTGAATCGGATTCGCAGAGCTTTTTTGCTTTAAAGAAGAAGTGATTTTGTATCTTATCGTCGGTGATTAATCTTCGACGTGGGAATGGAATATTTTGCTCAAAAGAAAACCTTGAAAATTGAAATGTTGCCCCTTTTAAGGGAAGAAAGTTGAATAAACTTAATAGGAGTATTTTTTTTTTTCCTTTTTTTTAAAGAAACCTTGCAGATCTTGAATATAGTTTTTGTGGCCAACTCACATGATGTGTTTCAAATTAATTAACTAAGATTCTGGAAAGAAATAAAAGGACTACACATTATATTAAAATAAAGTCTACCGAAACACATACCAAAATTAACTTAACGAAAACAGAACATACAAAAATCAAACTCTAAAGTAATATCCGCTGATTAAATGCTAGAGAGAAAGAAATCATATTTATTTTTTTTACCAAAAAAAACAAAATAACAATAATCTTAGCCTATTCTTTATTGAATGTCTAATACACTAATACATTCTCAGAAATTGTTTTTCAAAAACAATTTCGATACATTATTATAAGTTTTAAAATGTAAAAGAATGCATAATAAATGTACGTTAAACTGTCACTGTCAGGTAAAGACAACAGTACAGGAGACGTGGGTTCGGATCTAAGGACATGGATAAGCGCCGCACTTTCTAACCAGGACACGTGTCTTGACGGCTTCGAGGGCACTAATGGAATTATCAAAAAGATAGTGGCTGGTGGTCTTAGCCGGGTCGGTACGACCGTCCGAAATCTACTAACGATGGTTCACTCTCCTCCCTCTAAGGCCAAACCCAAGCCCATTAAAGCCCACACGATGACAAAAGCTCATAGTGGCTTCAGTAAGTTTCCCTCGTGGGTTAAACCCGGTGATCGGAAGTTGTTGCAAACTGACAACATAACAGTTGCTGACGCGGTTGTAGCCACAGACGGGACCGGGAATTTCACGACGATAAGTGACGCAGTGTTGGCTGCACCGGATTATAGTACCAAAAGATATGTGATACATGTGAAAAGAGGTGTATATGAGGAGAATGTGGAGATTAAGAAGAAGAAATGGAACATAATGATTGTTGGTGATGGCATCGATGCCACCGTGATCACCGGTAACCGGAGTTTCATCGACGGCTGGACTACTTTCCGGTCAGCTACTTTTGGTTAGTGCAAATTTATATTATCGTTACCTAGTAAGTATTTTTTTTTTTTTTTCAGTATTGATGAAGATTTTGAATTGGATATAAAAATATTTGGCAGCTGTGAGCGGTAGAGGGTTTATTGGGCGCGATATCACCTTCCAAAACACAGCAGGACCGGAAAAGCACCAAGCGGTCGCAATCCGATCCGATACGGATCTCGGGGTCTTTTATCGATGCGCGATGAGAGGTTACCAAGACACTCTCTATGCCCACTCAATGCGTCAATTCTTTAGAGAATGCATTATAACAGGCACTGTCGACTTTATATTCGGAGACGCCACTGCCGTATTCCAAAACTGCCAAATCAAAGCCAAACAAGGCCTTCCAAACCAGAAGAATAGCATCACGGCGCAAGGACGTAAGGATCCAAATGAGCCAACAGGATTCACAATCCAATTCAGCAATATAGCGGCTGATACCGACCTACTTCCAAACTCAAATACTACCGCTACTTACTTAGGTCGACCGTGGAAATTATATTCTAGAACGGTGTTCATGCAAAACTACATGAGCGATGCAATCAATCCCGAAGGATGGCTCGAATGGAACGGAAATTTTGCGTTGGATACATTATATTATGGTGAGTATATGAATAGCGGACCGGGTGCTAGTCTTGACCGCCGTGTTAAGTGGCCAGGATACCATGTGTTAAATACTCCGGCCGAGGCTAATAATTTTACGGTATCTCAATTCATACAAGGGAACTTGTGGTTACCATCTACTGGTATCACGTTCATTGCTGGTCTAGTCTCGTAAATTAATCATGTTTGATCGCATGCTTTATATTACCTTTTCATACATCATTTCTATTATACTACACATTATTATTTTTCTTGATGTTTTCTATTTTGTATATGGTTTTGGTGATAATTGAACTACAAGTTCTCTAAGTTTGATATGTATTGTATGAGTTATTTTTACTAATAGAATTAAAGTCATATGTCAACCACATTGTTTTTGCATTGATCTTCAAACCATGAATTATATATATATATATATATATATATAAAATATTATTTTCCAAAATTGTATGCGAGATATATTTAAGATGGATTTATTTAGCATTGATCTTCAATCCAATCTTATGCAGCTTCCTCCTATTCATCTTTTGTGATTCTCGGTGCGTTACAAACCATACTAGTATTTAAGTCCATAACCACATGTCAAATGCCACGAAAAAAAAAAAAACACGAGCCGAGGTGCATGATCTGGCTCCTACAAATTGGAAGTGAAGAATGAGTCAAATTAAACTTGCAAAATATTTCTTCTCAATAGTCAATACTGTAGTTTAGTATTAGAGAATACTTAAGACAAAAATTCGGCCCACGAAAACAGGTCCAGCTCACAATAGAATAAAAGAGGACTATATACTTATCATTCTTCTAGGGCTCAATTGCCTCTCTAGCTTCTTCGTCTTTTAAACTCATCTTCTTGATGGGAAAGGTGGGCAAGAGACTTGAGACATCCACCGATATTGTAGCAGCAGATCATAAGGGCACGAAGCCTTTGCAAAAAGGTAAGAAATTTAGGTTTCTTTATTGCTCGAGGCATATATGGAGATATTTTGGTGTTTTTTTTTTTTTTTTTAATAGCTGAGAGAGAGCTGCAGAATTATGGCAATTTCGTCTTTTCGAGCAGCTGATAATGGCAAACTCGCAAACTGTTGAAAAGGGTCAAATTCAACAAAGAACACTCCAAAAAGTGGATTGATTCAAAAAACAATTATACAAAATCTAATTAACATAATCCTGGATTTGATTAAAAAAAACTAAGCTACAGCAATACTGATTCACTTAAATCAATTACCAAAAAAAAAACCCCAAATTCACTTCTCCTCATCACTGTCGGTGCCATACTTGTGACACAGAGATTCGAGTCCCGTCTTCTTCGAGATTATGCAAACAGAAGAGATTTTAATGGGAAATTTACCAGAATCACGTCTCTTAGGCTTCTTCTTCTCATAGTTTTTCTCTTCATCAATCCTACTCCGCTTACCAAATTGTATCGACTTAATGAGCAACTCTTCCTCCACGTTCTCTTCTTCTTGTTTTTTTCTTCTACTCAAAGCCTCAAGCATGGAGTCTACGCTCACTGAGGCTCGTCTAGACTTCATAGATTTCAACTCATCAAGCCCAGCCATAACTTCAATCTCTCTTTTAGATACCACAGTTCTCTTCTCTAATGATTCCAATGCGTTTTCTGTTTCCTCATGCCTCTTCTTCTCTACCTTTTCGTGTCCATTATAAAGGCAAGTTGCACCTGATTCGACAGTATAACTCTCGTTCCTTGGATCGGTTTTAATTGTTACCTCTGCCAAGCATGTATTGCACTTAATGTAGAACCTATGGATTTTAATACCTAGATACGTCTCGGTGATGACGTCTTCTTCACGGCAATTGAATTTGGTGCCTTCCGACATGTAATTACCACATGTGTTGCAGCGAACACGCACTGGAAGCATAAATCGAATCTTTTTCTGCTGGTTCTTCGGTTTCTTGATGCGATGTATCTTCTTCGGATCAAAATCTGGCGGATGATACTTGTTTAGGTTTTTGCGTTCTCCCATAACTTCAGAGCACACGAAGAAGATGAGTCGAACTTCTCTCTTGATATCTCTCTTGCTCTTTCTCTACTTCTCTCTTGTATTTCTTGTTTGGATGATCCTTAAAAGTTATGAGACATCCCCTCCTTATATAGCCAAAGATGAGCTTTCTTTGTTTCCTTTGCAACTTGTAATTTTTATATTCTCTTGTTTCCTTTTTTTTGCGTGGCCGACTTATAGAAAAAAGTCAAAAGAAATTATTAGGATATATACAAAAATATGTCAATAATATCTTCTATGATACGATTCTATCTAGAATTAGGAAAGACCATTGTATATAAATACTTTGCTATGATAATCAATAAAAGCAAGCTTTTCTAAAATATATCAGAAATAACACGTTTTTTTAACGTCTCGTTGTATTGAAGAAAGGAATATAAGTCCCAATATCTTCTGAGAAGGGTTCGAGTGTGCGCATGTCTGAAAAATATATATATAAGTCCCAAAAGTAAACAGAGCAATATGGAAACAAAAACAGACCAATAACAGAGGAAACCTATAAAAACCAGAAACGTGAGGTAGGAGACCAATCTCACAGAGCAATAACATGTGTGAGATTGGACATATCTTCAAGATAACGGTAGCGATGTTGAAGTAAGCTTGAGTTAGAAGCTTATGGTTAAGAAGTTAACTTGAGGTGAAAGGTTAAGGGTTTTTTAGGAGATATCTAAAACCTAAGTAATATCTTGTTAAAGTCGGTTTATAAACATGTCGGTTTGTAAACTAGGTTTGATGTTTTGTGTATAAATATGAGATGCCAAGATATGGTATTCCATATGCGTGTTTAGGTTTTGAGAGATTGTGTGAGTCCTTTGTTCTGAGTAAGTTTCAAAGGTAATAAGAAAAGTTGTTCTTATAAACACGAAGTCTAAAGGGTTTTACATAGGGATCTTAAACAATAAGCGAAGTATAGTTGAAAAAATCTATTTTATCATGTGATGTGTATCAGTGTATCAATCAATACAGCCTCCAATAGCATTAATCGATCAATACAAACTCCTATAAAAAAAAGATAAACGGTGCCGGTGGCCTCGATTGTCGCTTGACTTGAAATCATTAGATGAAACTGTTTTGCGTTTCGGTTCTGTGGTAGTCGTGATAGACATCGTGCACAGCTGGCATACGCACTCCGCACAACTCCCATAGAGGCACTATAGGTAATTGCGGAAGCTTCTATAATTTTCACCAGAATGTTAACCATTGTATTGGAAAAGGAATGAAAAAACAACAAAAACGTTACAAAATGGGAAACAAAAAAAAGTCAACAAACACTTAAGTTCCTCATGTATAACAATAATCATAAAAAACTGTACAATGCCTACATTAAGCTATGATGGCTGAGAATCAATGAGAATGTCAAATATACCAGGAAAATAACACTCAAGTACATGACAAAATATAACATAATGACGGAAAATGGATTTTTGACAAATATATCCAAGCTTTGTAATTCAAATAAGTACGAAAAATAACATTCACCGACGAGGATGGTAAAAGTCTTGCGGCAGGTCAGGCCTTGGAGGATGGTCATTTTTTTTTTGATATATGGATTGAAAACAAGAAAAAGAAAGAAAGCATTACATTCCTTAGATAGAACGTTGATTTGTAGAGGAAATTGAAAATAAGCAAAATGAACGAATTCGGTTATATAAGAAAAAAGAGAAATCAACATCTTCTTGAAAGTCTCTTACATTTACATGATGATGTTCTTTGGTTTTTGCTCCTGTCTGAAGAAAAAGAGATAAACGAAGCTTTAAATTAAAACCCGATTGAAAGATGTGAAACAAAAAAAACAAAACAAAACTTCTCTCTGCCTGAGGAATTAATCTAACTTAGTTGTTGTTGTTACTCAAATATAATTACAAACATTCTCGCTTGCCCAATGGATTATTAATTAATTCACTTCTGTTTGATTTTTTGGTTAAATGTCTAACCTTTGTATAACAATTTTTGTGTTCCGATGGGAAACAAACATAAACACTGTAGACTAATATTATAGCTCTCTTAAAAGAAAGAAAAAAATCATCAATTTGTTTATTGTTCTTCAGATTTTTCTAATTTTAATCTTGTGTTTGTGATCTTATTACTATCTCATAATCTCAAAGTTGATTCCTTTTTTCAAGAAATTTTGTGATGGGCCTCTCTCCTCCATTTAGGTTTCTCTTTTTCCAATAGAAATCGTCTTCTTCTTTTTCTGGGTCTCGTCGATTTCTTCTCTACGAGTTCGAAATTAGGTTTTTTTTTTAGGGCTGATTTGACTCGGATTTATTCGACACTAGTGGGTTCTTGACCAACTTATTCGTTGAATTTTCTTTAGGGTTTCTTTGTGGAATTGTTCTCTTTAGTTGTTGTCTCTTTTTTGTTCCTTGGCTCTGGTTTCGTTGAGAGATTGAAGTTTGGTTATGCTATTGAATGATGTTTCATGGACAAGGGTTTTCGAGAAACCGTTGTAATGTTGTGGCAGTTGTTTCTGGAGAGCTTTGCGATACTAATAACCAGATAGATGGAGCTCCTCATCAACAACCTAAATACCCTTTTCCAGATCTCTCTTCTTCAGGGAGACTCAAGGTAAAAGATAAATATCATGTCTTTGAATCTTTTCTTTTAAGCTCTTGCTAGATTACTGGTTGAGAGAGGGAACTAAGTTCGTTCTAGTTATGTATATAGGGAATTTTTAGCTGGTGAGAGTTGTTGCTATATGTTATTTTGCTTCAATGGCTTCAGAAATTGATAGACTTGATGGGAGAATCTTGGTTTTAGCTAATATGTGGTGAATTTTATGGAGATGTTTAAGCATTTGGTGTATGCTTTGTCATGTTGTAGTTTCAGGTACTGAATAATCCTACGCCTGAGGAGTTCCAGGTTGCTGTTAACTCTTCAGCAACGGATTTTGTCTACTTGCAAGGGGAGCATAGTGGAGATAGTGATGAAGTTGGTCCCTTAGTGTTTGGATATACTGATTTTTCTACTCCTGATGCCTTGGTTACTCTGTTTGGTTCCACATTACCAACAACGGTAGGTGCACTCGTTGTTTTACGTTGCTCGTTTTTGGTTAAGGATTTCCTTTTACCAGCTGAAGTTAGGTTGATGCCACTAAGATTTTCTTATTAAGTTGCTGTTAGTCTCTTGATGATGTGCTTAAAAGGCTCCAGAGAGTATCCTTTACATGAATGTTAAAATATTTTTTCCTAACCAAAATCCTCCTAATGTTCTTCACTGGTTAAAGTTCATGTTTATAATGGTCCGTAATGATATATTAATATGCTTTGGTTTCACATTGTTTTCTCAGGTTTACCTTGAGCTCCCAAATGGTGAAGAATTGGCTCAAGCACTCTACTCTAAGGTACACCTTTCTTGATAAGCACCTTGCACTTTTGTGTTCCTTTCTTACGTTTTCTTCTTATTACCTGTTTGTTGCTCTATTTCAACTATGGTTTAGGTTAGGATTCCTTTTGAATGAATTGCTAAATTTGAAAGTACATTATGTTAGTCAATCTCATCAGTTCTCTTTTTCTAATGGTGCTTTGCTTTTGCAGGGTGTTCAATATGTTATTTATTGGAAAGATGTTTTCTCGAAATATGCAGCCTGCCATTTTCGCCATGCTCTGTTTTCAGTCATACAGAGGTAAGTGTTTACTCGAGAATATGCAATTGCAACAAGCCTTAATTTTAGTCTGTATTACATCTACGTTATAAAGTTTTTTCCCCTAGTCTAAAATTTAGTTGACAATGATATGTTCTTTGGCAATGCAGTTCGTGCAGCGATACATGGGATGTGTTCCATGTTGCAGAAGCATCTTTCCGACTCTATTGTACTAGTGACAATGCCGTCCTTCCTTCTAACAGCAACCGTAAAATGAATTATGAGATGGGACCCTGCTTGCTTGGAGAACCTCCAAAGATTGATGTGGTTTCGCCGGAAGCTGATGAACTAGAAGAGGAAAATTCATTAGAGAGCCTCCCATCAATAAAGATATATGATGAAGATGTTACTGTGAGGTTTCTTTTGTGTGGACCACCATGCACACTGGTGGGTGTTGTTGACCTTCTCACACATTTTATGATGCTGGCTTCTTTGAGAAAATGTTGGTATTTCTTTATGCTATCTTCAGTTTCAAAGCTTTTTCTCTATTTCAGGATACACTTTTACTGGGATCGTTGGTGGATGGACTTAATGCTCTCTTGAGAATAGAAGTGAGTAGCTTGTTAGTTTACAGTTTTAATTTTTTCTTTATTATTGGGTATACTAAAATGTATGGATGGACTTAGTTGTATATGTCTTTAGTCCTTTCAAATAACATTATTAATTCATTGTTCCAGATGCGAGGAAGTAAGCTCCATAATCGTTCTAGGTATGTAATTGCTATGGTCAAATGATATCCTCGAATAATATTAAGATTAATCATCTATGATTTTGTGCCTCTGTCACTTTTCAAATTTTTGCTGATCAAAAATTGAAACTGCAGTGCTCCAGCACCTCCTCTTCAAGCAGGAACATTTACTCGTGGTGTAGTGACCATGCGTTGTGATGTCTCGACCTGTTCTTCAGCACACATATCAATGCTGGTGTCTGGAAATGCTCAGACCTGTTTCAGTGATCAGGCAAGGGATTATATCTTTTGAAATATGAGCTCATCTCTGCATACATGTGCAATAGGATTTATTATTAATCTCCTTTGTAAATATCAGCTTTTGGAAAATCACATAAAACATGAGGTCGTTGAGAAGATCCAACTAGTCCATCCAGTGGGAAACTCAGAAGAAACAAAGCGGGGGTTCTCTGAGCCTCGGAGATCTGCCTCAATAGCTTGTGGGGCAAGTGTGTGTGAAGTTTCGATGCAAGTCCCAACATGGGCTCTGCAGGTTAATAATCTCTTTCTTTCCTCGACTTAGATTTGTTGTAGATAGGAATCTTTAGCCCAATTATGCACCTTGTTTCCAAGTTTCTCAACAATTTAGTCAGCTAAAGTAGTCACAAGAGTTTCAGATGAAAAGTTAGTTATGAAAATGTAATGGACATAGATGAAGGCTTTTCATGTTTCCTAACGTTTAACTCAAGCTTTGGGATGTCCCAGGACCATTTTTCGTGCTTTATTGTTTTCACTTTTTATACATGATTCATTTACATGTTAAGTGATAACATCCAGATAGTCATGTGATTCACGTTCTCCGTTTCATGAGTTTCCACTTGCTAAATGCGTGGCTAAGAAAAGGTTAGTTGTGCTTTCGACAGGTTTTAAGACAGCTGGCGCCTGATGTGTCATACCGCAGTTTAGTTGTCCTTGGAGTAGCAAGCATTCAGGGATTGTCTGTTGCTTCCTTTGAAAAAGATGATGCAGAACGTTTACTTTTCTTCTGCGGACAACAGATCAATGATACTTCAAATCATGATACTCTTCTATCCAAAATTCCTCACTGGTTGACGCCTCCCTTGCCAACCAGAAAAAGATCCGAGCCATGCAGAGAAAGTAAGGTACTGTTTCGGATGCCGCGGGTTGAAACTTCCTATATACAGAATGTTAATTTGGAAATACTCTTTGTTTATGAGCTTGATTCTATGATTTCAACTCTAATCAGGAAGAAGTTGTGTGGCCACTCTTCTGCCAATTTTCATTTTCTTCATAAAGTGTTGTATATTACTGATAGCACGCTATGTAAAAAATTTACATCCAGGAAATCGAAAACGGGGGACCTACATCAAGGAAAATCAACGTGGCTGCTTTGAGACCAATACCTCACACACGTCGACATAAGATGATACCTTTCTCTGGTTACTCTGAAATTGGAAGATTTGATGGCGACCACACCAAAGGAAGCTTGCCTATGCCTCCAAAGCATGGTGCATCAGGTGGCACTCCGGTAACTCACCGTAAAGCTTTTTCTGGTTCGTACCAGAGAAAGCAAATAATCTCACTGAACCCTCTGCCTCTCAAGAAACACGACTGTGGAAGAGCGCATATTCAAGTTTGCTCAGAGGTTTGCATTATTTTGATGAATAGTTTGAACTTAAAAACCCTTTTGACATTGATGTTTTTTTCTTTGGGTCTTATACATTACGGATGCTGTCTCTATATGTAGGAGGAGTTTCTGAGGGATGTGATGCAGTTCCTGCTAATACGAGGACATAGCCGGCTTGTTCCTCCAGGGGGACTCGCGGAGTTTCCGGATGCTGTTCTTAACTCAAAGCGGCTTGATTTGTTCAATCTGTACAGAGAGGTAGTTAAGCAATGACTTGGTTTTGATCAACCAAGGCACCAGCATTACATTTGGTGAGCTAATAATGAGAGTTATTGCAGGTTGTATCACGGGGAGGGTTTCACGTAGGGAATGGGATCAACTGGAAGGGACAAGTTTTCTCGAAGATGCGGAACCACACGCTCACAAACAGAATGACTGTAAATGATTTTGATATCTAATTTCACCATTTTATTTATTCTTGAAAATCAGAATATATATCTGATCATCAGCTCTGGGGTTATTATGGCAGGGTGTGGGTAATACCCTGAAAAGACACTATGAGACGTATCTACTGGAGTATGAGTATGCTCATGATGATGTAGATGGAGAGTGTTGTTTAATTTGTCGCAGGTACATTAAGAACTCTCTTTCTCTCTTGCATACATGTTAATACCGCATTGTTGTTAACGCGGTTTGGTTTGGTTGTAACAGTAGCACAGCTGGTGACTGGGTGAACTGTGGATCATGTGGAGAGTGGGCTCATTTCGGATGTGACAGAAGGCCTGGCCTCGGCGCCTTCAAAGTAACTAAACAAAACACACTCGTAAAATCGTAATAAGCATCAAAGAATAGCCTGTGTACTGATGCAACATATGATATGACAGGATTATGCGAAAACGGATGGGTTGGAATATGTATGCCCAAATTGTAGCGTCTCGAATTACAGGAAGAAGACTCCGAAGACCTCCAATGGCGGCATGCTTGTACCTTAGCTTTGTACCTTAGCTTCATGTTTCTTCTTTTGTTGTACTTTTTGCCTTGGAACCAAATGATTGATTGATTCCTCTGATATTTCACGAGTTTTTTTGCAATGCAAGGTTTTTCTTTCCATCATCTTTATTGTGAAATTCTCAAGTTTTAAATGATAGAAACACAATAGGAAACGAAGAATGAACAAATAGTGAAGTTATAGATTTTGTTTCTGAACGGTAAAATACAAAATTTGAGAAGATCGAACCAAACCTGAACCTCTCATTTTCATATGATAGTACTTGTAAATATTAGTACCAGATGAGTAGACATGACCACTTATTCAACCAAATAAGAACAGCAAATGATTAATTCTCCAAGAGATGATTTAAAAAAGGTAAACAAGCTTTGATAAAATGAATAAATCCCAAATCGTTCACAGTTTGGTGCAGCGTAGAAACAATTTATGTACATGTACACTTAAATAGTAACGAACTTATGAAACGAATTTGAGAAGCGTTTATATACAAAGAGTAGTTTGTAATGTGAATGGAGATTATGGACGCAATCGAGCATAGAGGTCCCTGAGGGCAGTGTACAACGGTTCAGCTGCCTTCGGTTGATCCACCATCCCAAGTAGAATGTCTGTTGTGGTTAGGTATGGATCGCCATAGAACTTTACATTCATGTCCCTTCGTGTTGCCACCACATTTCCTTCAAGAGATACTCCCACAAATGCCCCTGTTCACACCAAGCAACTTCTCTTAGGGTTCTAGATTTACATGACCTATCTTCTAGACTATTCAATTTCCTTTGTAACATTGAGCTCCTAAGGAGCTACCAGTCTGGCCAAATTATAGATAATCAGAAAAGTGAAATCTGAGGCATAAAGTTGAGATGGAGAAAACCTTTGCTACGGCTGTAAGTATAGCAGACACCAGAGCCTTTGTCACCAGCACGAAGGTCAGCTTCCAGCACTCTACCGATAGGTCCTGCTGCTGCACTACATCCCGCGCCTAGAGAGAAGTGCATTCTGCTGCAGAACGTCTTCACCGCTTTCACATCATGCAGCACAATTATGAAGTCCATCAACTCACCTCCAATCTAGCAAAAGAGTACAAAAGTTCTTATGTGGCTTTTGCTACGCATGTAGTTAGCATCTTTAACTCTCACAGGCATGTATCGAATGAAAAGGATGATGTTTTTACCTGAGCACCCCATCCTAGACCTACTGAGAGTATCGCAGATGGAGCAGACCATGACCCGTCTGGTCTCCGAGATATTACCAGACCAGTACCGAGTTTGTATGACAGTAAAGCCCCAGCCTTAGCAACCGTTATGATTGCCAAACCTTTAGCTCGACTAAGAACTGCATGTGGTATGGATTTCTCAGGGTCTAGTCTTGCTACCTGTGTATTTCAGCAACTAATTATACAGACATTTACGAACATGGAATGTGCACCTTAAGATTTCATACTCATTTATCTACTCGAACATCTCTACAAAATAAACATGTACTAGAGAGAAGAAGGATCAAAATCAAACCTGGCAGTAACCTCTCAACGTATTAGCTGCCTTATAAATTTCATCTTCCATGGATAGACCAACAGGGAGATTCAACCATCCTCTTGAGCAAGTCCAATCCACAACATCATGCTTGGCTACTTGCATAGCATTACTAATAGAGTTAATAAGAACACATTGCAAAGGATCAAGCCTCTCGTAGCAAGAATCACACACTCTCTGAGGATTCCTTTCCCGAAACCGACTAGGCATCAAACACCTCCCTTTCGAACAGTTTCTACAAAATATCCCTCCGCAGAACCGACAATGATGTCTACCGCACGTGATTGCAGTAAAAGGAGTAGAACACTGCATGCAAGTAGTAGCTAAACTATCAGGTAGCCACTCAGGAGGTTCAGCTTCAAGCAACTCCTTGTAAACACTGTAATTAATCCCACTAGGTTCAAGTAGAGGCGGAGCACTCGGTATGTAAACAGACGAGTGAACATAAGTATCTCCGTTCTTGCCAGAGCCAAGAAACGAAACATTCGAAGAAGGGATTTTCTGATCTAAAGAACCCCTTACGTCCTTGTTCCGCCCAGTAACAATAGCAATCAACCCAGTTAAAACGTTTTTCAAGTTTACTTCAGGTTTACCATTTCCTTGAATCGGCGTCGTAGAGAGCTCGTCAGCTGAATCATATCCGTCATCAACATAATCTCCAGAGTCGATAATCGGATACTCCGGTTCCTTCTTTGTGGGGTTTGATTGAACAGACCATTTAGGTCCATCTCCATAACCATCATCATCATCATCATCATCATAATCATCATACTTGAATTTGATGTTTTCTTCAGAATACGGAGAAACTTTTCCGTTGAGAGTAGCCATGCCTTAAAATTGAAAATTCACTAAAATTGAAAATCTGCAAACAAAGAACATATATTTATATCAAAACACAGATCAACAATTTCCTAGATAACTTATTGAAACCCTAATATAGCAAACCTAGCTTTTGATTTGAATTCTAAGGTTATTCGAATCGGAAGACAACGAATCACAGAGAATCATTGGAATTATAAAACAAAAGAATAATTTCAAGGATCGATGGGAGAAAGAACCTGTGCTTTGATCGCGAAGAAACGAATTAGGTTAAGAAAAATAGCAATTCCGATTTATGGGATTGAAGAAGAAGATAAGTAGCGAGCAAGAACACGGCGCCGGGGAATATTTTATTCATTAAATAATAGATATCATATCTTTCGGTTTTCAGGTAAGCAAGTCATTAAAGACTTCGTATATATTTGAGAGCCCAATGGGCCTTGGGCCTTATATTTTTGGCTAAATAAATGCTATTGCTTCAAACGATTCATTCGGTAAGAAAAAAGAAAGAGAATATTTGATTTTATTTAGTAAATATATTTAGAGTAACTAGATTTTAACATGCGGTGTGATTTATTTTTAAAATTAGTGTTTTTTAAAAAATTATTGGTTATATATTATATAAAAAATTTACAAATTGTATCATTTTATAAGACATTTATATTTTATAGTTTACTTATTAAATTTTTTTGATTCAAACTCGTTCCGTCATATAACCCCGTCCTACCATATAACCATCCCATGTTATTTTAACTCTTTATATATGTTCAAATGTTCTTATATTATAAAATTTTTATTTATTAATTTTAAATATATTAATTATAATATTTAAAACTTCTTAAAAACTCTTCCCGTTATGTAACCTTATCTACCAATATAACACTTCTCGTGTTATTGTACCTCTTTATATATGTTCAAATGTTCATAATATTATAAACTTTTTATTGATTTTAAATATATGAATTATATTATTTAAAACTTTTTCAAAGTTTAAAATTTAACATTTTTGGTAAAATTAAGCAATTACACTAAATAATCGAATGACGCGGTATATAATTTTAAATTTAGATGTTTATTAGAGAACTTCCAATGGTAGTGTCTCCATGAGACATCTATAATAAAAATAAGGGAGACTCACAAAAATACCCCTTTTTCAATACCCCTTTTCAAAAATGCCCCCTTAGACTATCCATTTTTAAAAATACCCCTTTTTATGTACAAAATGACTAAATTACCCTTATTTTATTAAAAGATATCACAAATATATAAGGAAATATAACAAAATTAGGTCCACAAAATACAAAATATTTTTTGGTGGGAAAAGTGATCCCGCAATTTTTCCCGCCAAAACACTTGTAAAAACTTATAAAACCTTTAAAATACCTTGTAAAATTTTCCCGTAAAATTTTTTCCGCCAAAAATATTTTTTTGCCGGAAAAGTGATTCCGCAATTTTTTTGGCGTTAAATTTTTGGCGGGAAAAATTTACAAGATATTTTAAAGGTTTTTTACAGGGTATTTATAGGGTTTACAATGTATTTTAAAAGGTTTTACAACGTATTTATAAGGTATTTATAAGATATTATAAGATTTTACAAGCTATTTTATAAGGTTTTACATGTTATAAGGTTTTACAAGTTTTTTATAAGGTTTTACAAGTTATAAATACCTTATAAAACCTTATAAGTACCTTGTAAAACCTTTTAAAATACATTGTAAAACCTTACAAAACACTTGTAAATACTCCGTAAAACCTTTAAAATACCTTGTAAATTTTTGCCGCCAAAAAAATTTCTCCAAAAAATTGTGGAATCACTTTTTCCGCAAAAAAAAATTTTTGGCGGGAAAAATTTTTACGGGAAAATTTTACAAGGTATTTTAAAGGTTTTTACAAGTGTTTTGGCGGGAAAATTGCGGGATCACTTTTCCCGCCAAAAAATATTTTGTGGACCTAATTTTGTTTCAAATAAGGGTAAAATGATCATTATAAATTAAAAGAGGGCAAACTTAAAAATGGACTCTCAAAGGGGGCATTTTTAAAAAGTGGTATTGAAAAAGAGGCATTTTTAACAATTTCTCTAAAAATAAATAAAAAATAAATAAAAAATAATTTTTTAATTAAAAGAGGTGAGACACGTTTCTCATTTGAGACATTTTGAGAAACTTTCTCTCTCATACACATGTCACTCCTAGATTGGTTTAGTAATTTCTTTTTAAATTCAATTATTCTAAGATTTATAATATCAATTAAATAGTTTATAAGTTTTTATTTTTTATTTTTTATTTTTCTACAATTCATAAAATAAAATTATCTATATATCAAGCTCCATTATACAAAAGTTTAAATTTTTATTATTATTATTTTTAATTGATATTAGTTAAGGTTAATATAAATATAAATTAATATTTTTAGTTAATAAAATACTATAATATTAGAAAATAAATCTGAGATGAATAATCTGATATTTTGTCAATATTTTGATAAATAATGTGTTATCTTTTGTCATTATTTACAAAATGTCCAATATAATTAAAATCTATTTGATAAAATGATGTTAATTTTAATCATATTGTTTTACAAAATTTCTAATATAATTAAATGATACGTTTAAAATTTAAGATATAACTTGATATGTTTAAAATTATTATTGAAAAAATAAAATTAATATAAAAATATAAATATTATATTGATAAGACATCCATAGAGATATCTCACCAATGGAAGTAGAATTTTAGTGTGAGTTTCTCTAAATAAATTAAACATAAAAATATTAATATTATATTTGTGAGACACTCTATGGGTGTCTACCATTGGAGATGCTCTTAAGTTGAGCTTCTTGTTCATTCGGATTTGGATTCATTTTTATTTTATTTATAATATGATCTAAATATTTTAGCCGATATGGAACGTCGAACACACATCTTTTCATCAATTGGGTAATATATATCCGTTTTTGAATCCCAATATATCAGAAAAACAATTGATATTTTTTTAAAACTTTATGTCTTATATGACGATTCAAAACAGTTAAAAAATGTTCAAACAAAGATGATAGGAGATTTGTATTTCTAAATCTTAACGAAATCTTCTAAATATCTATATTTTTAAATATGGAATATCCGGTTCATAATTTCGGATATGTTTTGACCCGATCCAAAAAAGATATGAATTATCCGGTATAAGATTTATGAAGAAAAGTTTTTATCGGGTCGGATACCAAATTTTTCGGATAAGAATTTAATCCACCCGCTAAAAATGTACTTCAAAAATACTAGTATAGATGTTTTGACCCGATCTAAAAAAGATATGAACTATCCGGTGTAAGATTTATGAAGAAATTTTTTTATCGGGTCGGATACCAAATTTGTCGGATAAAAATTTAACCCATCCGCTAAAAATGTATTTCAAAAATACTACTAGTATAGATTTACGGGCCAGGCGCTACGACGATGTTTTGTTTTCACCGTTTGGCAAAGTCATATTGACTTTCTATGTTTTAGGCTTTTAGCTATTAAGGCATTTTATGACGAAATTACTCATGCCAGCGTAACCGGTGTACGAATCAGTTAGACCTTGAAGTTAGGTATAATGTCTTGTTAGCTACAATTTCAGTGTATTTTTATTGGTTCCGCATATACCATAATTTGAAATTTGTGTAATTGTTTTTGGAGATTGTTTGAGAGATTTATGTTTTTTTTTATTTATTGGAAGAGATATCCTATACTATTGTTTTAGAAGTACATTAAAAAAAAACTAACCTTACCCTTTGTAAATACTACTTAGGAATGTGATTGAAAATAAAATTTCAAACACCAAATTAATTTAGTTCATTAAGGATAAACAAATCAAATACTAATTTATGAAATTTATTTAAATTATAAAACGAAAATACATTATTAATTTTTTTAAAAAGCAATAACCAATTAAAACGAACATATAAGATTTGCTATCTAACTTACCTTAATAATTAATTATTAATCATTATATTAAAAAAAGTAAATTTTTCCGTATATACTATGATTTGAAATTTTAAAAATGAATTTAAACTGTTCAGTTTTTTTTTTTTTTTTTTTGTCATCATAAATTGTTCAGTCTATGTAGAAAAAAATTGTAACGGGTCAAAAATTCAGACTTGAGTAATATATTAGATATTTCTTTTAATCTATGAGATGATGTTCTCAGTAACAGGTCAGAATTTTAATATTTATATTCTATTCAGTGTTCAAGAAAGCGCTAGGCGCTAAGCGGGCGGTGACCCAGTGCCTAGCGCCTAGAACGTCTAATCGGGGCCTAGACGATTTTTTAGGCGGTTTAGACGTTTATAACATAAAACATTATCAATATGATATTATATAAAATATCTATATAAAACTAAAAATTATGAAATTATAAATAAAAATTAGATAAAATATTTATTTATATTTATATTAAACAATATATGAATATTTATAACTATATATATAAATAAAACTCTAATTGAAATTGAAAAAATACATTAAACAAGATCTATGTAATTTTAGGCGGTCAAGGCGGTTATCTAGGCGTCGCATGAGAGCCTAGCGCCTAGTCGGGGCCTAGGCGACCGCCTAGACCGCTTTTTAGAACACTGATTCTATTTCATACATTTCTTTGTTTTGAAATGTATAATTTATATACTAAAATAAAAAATGTTTAAATATTTAAAAGGGAAATTGTTAAAAATACCTCTTTTGGTGCGCGCCCCTTTTCAAAAATGCCCCTTTTAGATGTCCATTTTCAAAAATGCCCCTTTTTAAATATGAAATTTTTATAAAGTTTTATTAGGTTTATAAGGTACTTATGGATTGTAACTACTACTTGAAGACTCGATCTAAGTATTTATAAGGTTTTATAAGGTGTTTTTAAAGGTTTTACAAGTTATTTTAAAGGATTTTTAAGGTTTTACAAGATATTTTAAAGGTTTTTAAAGGTATTTAAAATGCATTTACAAGGTATTTATAAGATTTTAGATACATAGAAATGTAGTTTGTGTATGTTTTAATAATATTACATACATATTTGGATAAATCTTATATTTTTAAGAGCATTTTTTTATAAGGTTTTTAAAAAGGGGTATTTTTGAAAAGTGGCATTGAAAAAGTGGCATTTTTGTAAAAGCCTCTTATTTAAATATAGAATATTTAAAAATAGTTTAACTTCAAATTTTTAAAGAATATCATAAATATCTAATAGATCAAAAAAATAAATATTATAAAATACTTTAATTTAATTTTTTAAATAGATATATTTAAAATATTTATAGTAGGCGGCGCGTTAAATGTAATGTATTATATAATGAATGATTTACGATCCTGATAACTATTTGAATATTTATATTAAATTTCATGCAAATTTCTTTTGAAATTTATAATTTTATATACTACAAAAAACTTTTTAAAAATTTTAGTTTGGAACATTTAAAAATAGTTTAAATTTGATATCTTTAAAGAATATCATTTAACATATCAAAAAGTTAAAAATTAGAAATATGCTAAATTGATTTTTTTAAATAGATATATTTAAAATATTTATTTCTGGCGGCGGGTTAAATATAATGTATTATAAGGCAGTTTGAGTTATTATTAGGCCTGGATAAAATACCCGAACCGAAGGAACCGAAGCAGAACCGAAGCAAAAAGAATCGAACTGAAACCGAACCTAAATTTTAAAATACTCAAATGGTTCCTAAATTTTAGAACCGAAAGAACCGGAACCGGAACCGGAACCAAACCGAACAGAAATATTTCAGGTACCTGAAAATATCCGAAATATGAGTTTATATCTAAAAGGATTAGTTATTTTTCGATCGATTAACCAAAAATACCCGAAATACCAACAAATATTTGGAAAATATATCAAAAAATACTTAAAATATACAAAAAAATACTCAAAAATATCCAAAAATATACAAAATACCTAAAAATATCCGAAAGAAAATATCCGAATGGATCTTAAACTTCAGAACGGAAAGAATCGGAACCGGAACCGGAACTAAACCAAAATTATTTGGTTCCTATATGGATCCTAAACTCTAGAACCGAAAGAACCGGAACCAAACCAGAACCGAACGGATACCCGAACGCCGAGACCTAATTATGATCCTTATAATAGATGGTGGATTAAGATGATATGATGAGATAATTTAAATAAGTTTTGACATCTTTAAATATTTGAAAATTTGATTCTGCAAGCAATTTTGAAAATAACGAATGATGGATTGTGTAAGAAATTTTTTCGTTGAGATTCTAAAATGAAAATATGGACTCTACCCACGGGTTGAATTTGGTATTATTATATACCAAAAATATGTTCTTAATATATTCAATTAGGAGAATAATTGCTAAATTCAGTAATGAGCTCAACCAAAGAGTTACAATTAAAAGGAAACTTCCTAAATTAACTCAAAATAATCACGAACTTTCTTAAATAACTAAAAATAATCTAATTTTAGATGCAAGTTATTTACGATATTTCAATTTTTGATCTAACCGAATTATATGCAATATCATTTTGTAGTTGTTAACATAATAAACTCATTGTTCAAACAATATTAATTTTTAAGAAATAGTATTACTTTTCGTTTTCACATCTTAAGAAAAATTATGCATAATTGAGTATATATATATTCTAATATTATCATCTGTTAGGAAAACTTATCCATGACTTTTGGTAAAATTAATCAGTGGACAGCAATCATCAAAAGACACAGGTAAAATTTTGTGATTTTAATTAAAATAAATAAATAATATTAAGGATAATGACTTTTACAACATACAAGAAGCAATGAAATTTCGTTCTCATAAAGCAGGGACACCAATATCCTTTTTGTGACAAACCAACATTGTTTCTACTTTCTACATAACTAAAGGTTTGTCCTTTAAAGCCACCAGCGATCTGATAACGCCTGGAGAAATATTATCAGCAAGAGCCCCGAGTTCCGATATAAACAGAGCTTTCTCCTTCACTAGGCTCTGCAATTTCTTTGATTCAAACTCCATTTTCTCTTCATCTACACACAGTAACAAGTAGGCCATTTTCTCATGAGAATACTGCATTAGTCTTTAAGAGAGTAGCAAAAACTGTGAACAAGATGAAACCTTTCTCAAGCATTGTATGCAAAGCATGAAACGGAATCGCAGCAAAAAGATCAGCTCCTGGGAGCATCATCCAAGTGGGTTCACTAGAGTCATGGGATCCACATGTGGAGCAAACTTCTTGGACCAAAGGTTTCGTTGAGCTCACATGTATATCTTTCATCATAGAATCGAATGGAGTAAGAACACTAGTCTTTGTTGTCCGAGCTCTCTTCCTAAGTGCTGTAAGAGCCTCTCGGTTTGCATTCCTCTCCTTGTCATTCTCCACCATCTATTGCACATATTACAAGCTCCATTTGGTTAAAAACCTTATTGACCTAACAATATATCATACAAAATCTGATTTCTCAGAAGAGGAAACAAGTTGCAGAACAACAATAGATAGAAAAAGCTTGTGAATCTCAAAGGAAGTTATTCTGCTTTCCACAATCACGTATAAATTACTAAGTAGGGAATATTTCCAACTAGATAGATAATACTAAACAGATTCCCGAGTACCTGGTTTCGAGCTAGAAGAAACTCATCAGCTTCAGCTTCAATTTTGTCCAATAGTGCAACAAACTTCTTTGGATCCAACTCCATCTCTAATCTAACAGATTCCAATAAACAGATAGGCTCAGAACCATGCTTATCAAATAAAGCATCATTGGTTGAAGAGGAGAACGGAAAATATTTTTGATTAGTGGTATAGTCAATCTTCCTAATCCTGTAAATCTCCATGTTAACCTACTTATCTATGCACAAATCAAACCATAACGAAGCCAGAAAAAAAGAGAAGCTATGGATACTTTGTTTGTTTGTTTAAGCTCAATTTCAAAGACTCTAATTAGACCCACAAGCCACTCCATGTTATTATGTACACATCATCTTAAACCTCTTTACTATCGTTTTAACTTCTTTTCTAAAGAGTCATTATATTTTTCAATTTGGATGACATAATTGATTCATCCAATTATTGATTTCATCCAATTTCGAAGAAACGATTACAAAAATTAACAATTCTGATAAACCCTAAAAGGTTAAATCCCTGAATTCCAAAACCCTAAACCCTAATTCAAGAAATCTCGTTCCTACGATGCAATAACGAAGGCAACCACAACTGTAATACAAGTGTAAAATGATTTCTAATTCATTTTTGCAGCATCTTAACAAGAGAGCGAAACAAAGTAACTCAGAAAAAGGGAAAAACATATAAATAACCTTTAAATGGATTTACAGACGAAGAGGCCTTTGATCCAAGGTTCGAGAGTACTCATGGTGTTCTTCTTCAAAACATGTACGCTGGTTTTGCTGGTTCCATGGGACGTGCCGGTGAGCGTCACGACATTTGGAGCTGGTCGTTCGAAAACTAACTTAACCGGTTTGATTCGGTTAAGTTTGGCTAGGTATAGTTTGCTTTGTTTTAGTAATTGTTGTACTACTAGAGTGAATAATTAAGGGTTAAATAAAATAAGCCAAACATGTGGCTTACTCTGCATTGCATTTTCATATTTGTGTGTATTCAGTCTGAATAATTCAGAGATTTTCAATAAAATAAACTTCCTTTTCAAATTCATGTAACCGATTAGCTGGAATTGCTTGAACCGCATGATTTCACAAGGTAGGAGATTGTATCAAGCTCCAAATCAACATCAGTAGCTCGATACACATCAACATTAATGTATCTGTCATGGATACATGATTCTATCAATTAAAGATGACAAAAGAAACAGAACAAAATCTTGCATCCACGTAATGAAAACGGTTTATATTAAATAAACGGAGAATAATTGAGTTATGTTTTGTTTTTCACGGAATAAAATATAATTTCCCATGCAAAAGATTATAAACGTGGAATGTCTTAGATTTATACACGAAATATGAATTAAAAAAAAAAGTTCCATTAAGATTCAGACCAAACCAAAGCTTCTCAAACCAGTACACAACAAGATGAAGCTAACAAAACAAGAAAGAAAACAAATAAATAATACAAATAGAGTTCACTCATAAAAAGAATAACAATGCCAATAAGAAGAATAACACAGAAGAAAAAAGAAAGAAACACATAACAAAGAGCCAAAGTGACAGAACAATCTTAAGCTAAGCTAAAACATGTGTAAAAAGGCAATGGCCAGACACTGGTTGGTACCAACACTAAATATGAAGAAACAATTATCAAAGGATACCATTTATAGATTAACAAGTTATAACTAGATTTAATTGTGAACATGCGGATTGTACATTAGTAGAGAACTTTTAAGTGAACATGAGCCTTGTCTTAGAAAGACACATCAAAATAAGCTACTAAAGCTTTTAAACAATCTATACTAAAGCTTTTGATTTTCACTTAAAGACACATCAATATTTCATGCTGCAGAGAGAAACTATATCTGCTTGGATAGTTTGCAGAGAGAAACCAAATATAAATGCTTAGATACTTTGCAGAGAGAAACCAAATATATCACATGATTAAAGAGTAACGTGCACACAATGCTCAAAGCCAGCTCATATCTATAACCATTCAAGTAATACTTTTGTATTGGTTGCAATAATCTCATCAACAAAAGTAGCTCCATCAATACAAGACTAATCTCTAAACTATTCTAAACTAAAGACGAATTAAGCGAATTTTGCTCCAGACTTTTCAAACAATGAGCATTCATATAAGCAATTCACAACACCAGAACCCACAAGATCAAAGTCATATATATATATGCAGGAGTCTAAATGCAGATAAACCCATGGAAACAAACTCAAACTGTTTCATCACCAACTTCAGACATAGTTCTAAGAAATCATTAGCTCAGCCTATCAAAATCGACACAGAGCACAAAATCAAATAAGATAGCCAAAAATAATTTATCAAAATCCAATCTTACCAAATAAGAAGCAAAACCCAGATAAGGTTCGGCTTTCGTGTAAACCCAGAGGAAGTTTTGCTGAGAAGTTGCTTTCGACAAAAGAAGAACTCGAGCTGCGACGATGATGAGAACTTGCTTTCACTCTCGTTTTAAGCCAGAACAATTGCAGATGAGAACTTGATTTCACTCTCCTTTAAACCCAGATCAATTGCTTTCACTCTCGTTTCGGTTCTTTGTTGATTTTGCTGAGAACTTGCTCTCGACTAAGGGAGAAACTCGAGCTGCGGCGAGAGAAAGATGAAACTATAAGGGTATTTCTGTCATTTACATTTTTAGTCGCTGTTTTTAAAATTGCATCGCCAATTTATCCTGCGATCAGAAATTTCAGTCGCGGATCGCCGCGTAGACTTGCGCCTGCCAAACAAACAACTTTTAGTCGCAGTCGCAATCGCAAGAGGCCTGCGACTGCTAAACGAACAGGCCCAAACTCCCAATATACACATGAGAACTAGGATCGGACCCGCGGTCTACCGCGGGGAAATATTGATTTACATACGTTGATTATAATATTGTGCGTGTTTTTAGTAGAGCGAATCGTATAGTGTATTTATAAATATTCATAATAACGAATTGTAGAGAAAATGTTAAATTGTTTGTGTTTTAGAATTCTAAAATAAGACTATTTATGGGAATTAGAGTAGTCAAAATAGGTCAAAAATTGCGGATCGAGCCGAAATAATCTCACTATATGACAGATTTGGGAAAATATATTAAACCCGCAAATAAGTGGGCCACATGGATTGATTCGCAAAGGGTCATAGGTTTTAATTGGTTTTCGTCCGCGGGATAGCGGATCAGCCCGCATGTTAGTATTTATTGATAAAAATATAATTTATTCAACATGTGGTAATTTTTAAAACTTTTTTTTTTGTCATCCGAAATTAATTAAAATTCAAAAGAACCATTCCTGGAGAATGTTGTTTACATATGTGATATGAAGCGGTTCTGTACGAACTTCTCGTGCCAGATTATCCGCTTTGACATTAGCTCTACGAGAAATTAAAGATAAAGAAAAAGATGAAAACTCCTCTTTGTCACTCTGAAATTCCTCCAAATACACTGAAAACGCCGGCCATTCGGTTGGAGAAGACACTATCTTCACCAGGTCTGAACAGTCTGTAAAGAACGCTACATCTTGATGATCTGCACCAATCATACACTTCATCGCCCAGAGAAGGGCCTCGACTTCGGCATGTAGTGGAGATTGACTTCTACGGAGGTTCGCAGCTCCCATGGTTGGCGGCTCTCCATTTGACGATGTACAGAACCACCCTGTACCGGAGAACTTATCACTTTCTTTCCACGATCCATCCACGAAACAACGATATCCTGAATAGTTCGAATCAAAAGAAACCTCCCTCACTCGGGACAGAGTTGCCGAACTCACAACACCATGATTTTCTTCTTGGAGCTCTAATTGAGCTGCTTGCCATAATTGTGCCTCTTTTTCTGCTAACCGTAATACCTCTAACGGGTCTTTATCTATATTTTCAAAGATTTTTTCATTCCTTGCTTTCCAAATATACAATATAATCCATGGAAAAGCTGAAAAATCAAAGTCTGAAGGTATTCTCCAAAATAAGTGATCCAAATTCGCAAAAATGGATTCCGTGGGAAAAATCCCGATCGCCGTTGGAATCTGTGAAAGTGCCCAAATCTGCCGTGCCGGGTGGCACTGAAATAGTGTATGATTGATTGTTTCCTCTGATGCACCATATCTGGCACATCCTGTGTCACAATCCATTCCTCTTTTCCGTAGATTTTCCGTAACCGGTACACAACCGTTTAAAATTTGCCATAAGAAATGTCGTATCTTCGGTGGGCACTGCACTTGCCAAGAGTGTGCTTTTAGCGGTTTGATATCTGGACCAATAAACAAAAAATTGGTCTCTGGACCAATATCTGGACCAATAAACAAGAGTGTAATTTTAAAAACTTTTAATAAATGAAATTATACTATTTATAAATATAATGATATATAAAAAAATTCTCTAATTTTTTTGTTTTATTTATTTTAGTCTTACAGCAAAATGGAAAGGTCTTACAGCAAAAAAATTTTATGTATAAGGAAAAAATTATACTCAAGTTCATAAACATGGAAAGGTCTTACAGCAAAAAATTTTATGTGTAAGGAAAAAATTATACTCAAGTCCAATGCCTTAGACTGCTAAATCTATCAACAATTCAATACCTTTCAATGATAATCAATCAATACTCGAAATGATTCTATTATTTACAAATAACAAATCTGGATTCTCACATATCAGATCCGACCCACACGAATAACTCCACGCTCTGTCCGACATGAAATTTGAGGCAAAATCGACAATTTCATGGCACTCAGCTGCGAAGAAGGCGATACCGGACTCCCAATCTTTCTCCTATGCATATTCATCTTAATCTCTAAGCATGCTTTATCACCATGGCAAGAAAATCTCTAACAATAACAAATAAATGAAGAGGATTCTTCCCCTCTGTAATAGCTTCTGATTGATAATAATCCATTGTACGTTTCACAAGCTCCATTACTTTCATCCAAGCTTGTGAAAACTGGATCAAGAGCCATTTCAGAAAAAAGATTTAGTTTGATTGCCGACGAGTATAATGCTAATGATTTGAGAAAACACAGACAATATGCCCTATATTTATACTGGTATGTTACATTTTCACAAATGTAGGGTTGCCGCAAAGAATATTCGGTAAAATATTCTAGAAAAAAAATCTAAACTAAAAAAAGATTATGACGGCAATCTATCCAAGTTAAATCGCATAATAATTTGGATAGTATTAAACTCACCAAGTCAAATATAGAAAATATGTAAATAAAATCTCAACGATATATTATATGGTATCGGCAATATACCAGTAATCATGTCAATATATTCATATTTATGATCATTTTAATTGTAAAAAAAAAGTTACCATATAAGTACAAATATTCCGAAATTAAAGGATTCCGAATATTATTTGCCACATCATCCGTTTTTTGTTCATTTTCATTTTAATGGTGGATTTTTATTGACATAATTACTCAAAGATCCGATTGATGAATTTACGGGTTACTTTTTCAATTTTTGTTATTTTAACCCGACCCAAGTACTTTTGTACTTCTCTTTTAATAGTATAGAGATTGGTATGCTTCTTTTAACATTTGATAATCTAGAAAATAAAGAAAATGATCTAAACAAATCGGAAAATTAGAGACTTTGAGCTATTATTATTACTAGAGACTCTGAATGCTAGAACAAGTGAACAACCAACATGAACATGATGCTTCTTCTTTTTTTGTCTATTTGATTTTCAAACCGTTTTTAGCCAAAAAAACAAAAAATTTCTTTTGCTTGAACGGGTGTTTTGTAGATATTTTTAAAATGTTTTCCCAAAAAGTGTTTTAGACTGAAAAGTGAAAAGATAAAATCAGAACGGAGAAATTTTGGTTTTCAACAAAATGGATGTTAGTTTAACATTAAACCAAAAAAAAAAAACAAAACAAAATGGATGTTGACTAACTTAAGTCTTGTTTACAACATTAATTAATTTTATTTTTTGGTTAAACAAAAATACCAATTGGTTTAATCCAATTTGATCTAATTGAAAACCGGATTGATTTTTCAATTTAATCCAAATTCCAAATTAATTGTCGTTCTAACATCGATTTGGTTTTGGGACCTTTGGGTTTGAATCCAATTTATATTAAACTGTTATCATTTTGTGTAAAAACAATTTTTTGTTGGTTTAAAAAATACCGATTGGTTTAATCCAATTTTAGTTTTAATTTAATGGAAAGCCGGTTTGATTTTTCAATCAAAATCCAACCGTCTAACATCGATTTGGTTTATCCTCAGAACGGTGGTTCGATTCTTCACCATCCTGTTTTTTTTTTTTTTTTTCATTTTAGGTTCTTGGTTCTCTGTTAACCGGATCAAACCGGATATTCGAACAACGAACTTCAACAGATCGCCCCAGAAGCAACCACCGTCTCTGCTTCGTCTCCTCCTCATCTCGCTAGAATCATTAGTGCCCTGACGGCGTTCTCCTTGATTCGCAGGCTTGGAGGTTAAGACCAAGTAACCATAGCGGAGGGTCCTAAATCTAAGGCGGTGAAGAAACATGAGGAACTAGGAAGAGGTGGAGGGAAGGCTAAGGCGGCTAGGGTTTCCTGTGAAAGGATTAGGGTGAGAAAAAAAAAAAGACAATTCCTAGGAATCGAACCTATCCACCTTACCACATGAATGTATCTGTCAAATTTTGTAAACAGATTGTATATATCTATTTAAACATGTCGGACTGAAATTTAACGTCGATAAATGATTTCGTTACCCGTGTTAACGACTGTTAACTCGTGGGTAAGAATTCACCAACCTTTTATAACATGAATACTTTTAAAGACAATATTAAATGAACAAAGTATTTTTATTCTAATTTTAAAACTACATGTATTAAACGGCTTCAATAAAAATAGATAACAATTTTTTTGGGAAAAGAGACTATACATGTTAATTTGATTGACCATTTATAAAGAAGTGTACAAAGCCACACATTTGAATCTTCACGGAAAAAGGACTATACATGCTAACTTGATTTTCGGATTGAGTCAAAACTTCCCGGTTCTTAGATTCTCAAAAAAAGGTATATTCAAAAAGTTGTTTAATTATTTTGGCACAACAATAGGCATTCCAAATGTCGATAAATCTAATATCAAATAAGATATAGATTAACTGGCTACATCAAACCAAATTGTAAAATTTATCTAGTGTTGCACAAGAGAATTGTGCAACACTAATATATAGAATATATATATATATATATATATATTTTGCTTCTTAGATGATGTTTGAGATAATGAAAAACAAAAGAGTCAAGCAAGAAATGGATATCTTGCAAAATACGAAATGGAATTTCAAGATTCACGCTTGAAACAAATTATATAAGTTTTAATAGGATTAAACAATTATTTTCAATGTTTAAAATCTAAAGGCATCTCCAACCCTACTCTATTTTAGAGTAAAAATGCAAAATTCTTCTCCAACCCTACTCTATAATTGACTCTAAAATAGAGATTTCTGCAGATTGACTCTATATATAGAGCAACTCTATTCTCAACTTTTTTTTTTTGTCATCCGAAATTAATTAGAGCTCAAAAGAGCCATTCCTGAGGAATGTTGTTTACATATGTGATATGAAGCGGTTCTGTACGAACTTTTCGTGCCAGATTATCCGCCTTAACATTAGCCCTACGAGAAATTAAAGATA